ACGATTTCAACGAATTCGAACTACCTAATTATTTTAAATCGAAACGCACAGAAAAGGATTTTTCTCATTTATTTATATATCAGTAGAATATAAACGCGTCTTTGATAATAAATTATCGCGAATTTATTTCCGAATAGATTTTTCTTTTTTCTACCAATTTACGAGGTCAGATTTTTTTTTTTTAGCGTAAATTAGGAATCAAAGTTTGGTGGGTCTTTTTTTTTAATAATGATGATGAAAAAGAAAAGGAATCTATATATATGCGAAGAAGGTTTGTTTTATTTTTCTCGGATTTTTTTTGTTACTCATCCGGGTGAAGTCGTCACGTGGCACTCTTTTGAATCTGGTTTTGGCATTGCCGAAGATAAAACATGACCAAAAGCGAACAACAGATCGCGATCACTGTCCAAAATATGTGTCCGTACTGATCGGGACGAGATCGACTCCTTTCTTCGCATATCATGAGCCACGTGGATGCCTTTACCCATTACAGCTGCGTACACCATTTACGGTCCTTCCCAAGTATCTTTGTGTTTTTATCCGATCACATTTTGACGAATGATCGGTGCTCGATCACGAAACGATTAACTTTGCGAACGAATAAATATCCAATACAGTATATATAGAATGCTTTCAATGAAATTCAAGATGATCGCTCGCCTCTTCCATATATTGAAATCAAAATTTCATTACAAAAAAAAAAAAAAAAAAAAAACGAAACAAAACAAAGAAAAATTTACTCTGCAATTAGAAGAATTGCATTTGACCGATATTTCTTTTATTCGCGAAATCAATTATTGCTACAGTATTGTAAAAAGGGAGAATTAATTCTGCCATTAAAATATATTTTGATTTTTTTCGCTTTTTTATAAGAAACAAAATTTGGTCATATTATATTTAAAATAAAATTTTTGGAAATTCTCTAAAATTCTAGAAAAGAAGAAAAAAATGGGCAACAATAAAATTATAAAATAAACTCTTTAAATTTGAATTAGTGAGAATTCGTTTACTTATATTTAAATTAGTTTCAAAATTTATTAATTTTTAGTCCTTTTTTACTAGATCTTTAGGAAAAAATAATATTAAATAAAATAGAAATATTTCACAAAAACTTTAGTAAAAAAAAAATTTATAATTAAATAAAAATATTTCACTGAAACTTTTTAAAAAAATATTAGTAAATCAAATAGTATTTTACTTAAAATTAGTGAAAATTCCTACTAATTTTCAGTGATTTTATTTAAACTAAAAATTAGTAGAATTTTTTTACTAAAATTTTAGTCATTTTATTTAAACTAAAATTAATAGAATTTTTTACTAAAATTGTAGTTCAATATTATTATTTGATTTAGTAATATTTTTTTCCTAAAGTATTTGGAAAATTTCGACTAATTTTTAGTCTTTTTTAATTAAAAATTAATCGAAATTTTCCAAATACTTTAGGAAAAAAATATTACTAAATCAAATAAATAATATTGTATTAAAAATTAATGAAAATTCTTACTAATTTTTAGTCATTTTATTTGAATTAAAAATTAGTCTAAATTTTTAGTAAATTTTAGTAAAAAAAAATTGCTTAATGAAATAGTAATATTCTACTGAAAATTAGTGAAAATTTCTCCTAATGTTTAGTCATTTTATTTAAACTAAAAATTAGTAGAATTTTTTTACTAAAATTTTAGTCATTTTATTTAAACTAAAAATTAATAGAATTTTTTACTAAAATTGTAGTTCAATATTATTATTTGATTTAGTAATATTTTTTTCCTAAAGTATTTGGAAAATTTCGATTAATTTTTAGTCATTTTATTTGAATTAAAAATTAGTCGCAGTTTTTACTGCACTTTAGGAAAAAAAATATTACTAAATCAAATAAATAATATTGTATTAAAAATTAGTGAAAGTTTCTAATAATTTTTAGTCATTTTATTTGAATTAAAAATTAGTTGAAATTTTTAGTAAATTTTAGTAAAAAAAAATTGCTTAATAAAATAGTAATATTCTAATGAAAATTAGTGAAAATTTCTACTAATTTTAAATTAGTTAAAGAATTCTCACAAATTCTCAAAAATTTAAAGAATATCAGGAAGCGTTTTTCGTTAAGGTTTAAAAAAAATCACTATTTGAAATGATTTCTTTGAAAATAATTGTAAGTATATGTAATTTGAAATCGACATGAGAGAGCAGCGCGGCCACTTGAAAGAAGGGCGCGTGCTCCGTTGGTGTATATGCTCGCACACCGGGCGGCATTTAAAAAACCATTAAAGTAGATTAGAGCGGCCCATAAACGAATAGCTTGAAACCTAAAGTGCCGGGGTAAAGTTTTTAAAAGTATATAAAAATACGCGAGCAAAAGTGTGGCGCAAAACTCGAGTTACTCCGATTAGGTTGGCATTTTACTTCTTTTTTTTATTTTTTTAAGCTCGATAGCAATCTTTCCGATATTTATAATATACAATAGATCGTCCGAGTATATGGGGTCAGTGCACAAATATAATTTTTCTTTTTTTTTTTCCCCTTACAATTTTTATTTTTACCACTACAAAGAATATACGAGAATCGCGCTTCTCTTCATGGATCTTCTGACAGTTATTGTTAATTATTTATAATCCGATCGTAAAACAAAAAAGCAGTAGTCGCTGTGAAGTATAATTATTATTTTATAGCTTTAAAAACTGATAAGGTAAAATGTGAAATATTCAGAATTGACGTTTAATTTTTTTTTCTTCCTTTTTTTTTTATAGTTTTTGCATTCTGAATTTATCCATATAAAGCGAACCACTGATTTTATCGCAACATTTAGTTACAGGATAGTAAATATTTACGTGAATTAATTATTGAGTTTTATAGCACCTTGCGCGAATAAAGGGGACGTTCAATGACACATTAAAAAGTTGGAAAAGGAAATTTTAAAACGTTTCACATTTAACGAGAAAGGGTGCGCATTTATTATTTATTTGATTTACAAAAAATTATCCCTGTCAGAGAGGTGACTTTTGTCGTTAAATATTAGTTTTTTATATTTATATCGCAATACGGAGTAAAGTCATCCAAAATTTGAGATTCAAAATTTAATTATTTAGTAAATTTTTCTAATTGAAAGGATTTTAATTTATTTGTATATTTATTTCATAAACCGTGGTGATTTTTTTATTCATATAAAAAAATTAATTTTTTTACTCATATCGAATATAAAGAAAAAAATTTTAAAACTAATAAATTGAAGCTTAAATTTAAATGCATATATAGTTACAAAGAAAAAAAAGTTGGGAATGTTTTATAGTTTACAATTAAAAGGCCAATTGAATTTTACAAATATTTTTTTCTGTGGGAAAAAATATGTGTCTTTCGGAAAAATTATGTGCAACCTCGAAGATTCGATGAACTATTAAAGCGTGAAAGATTGAACACTGATGTACTTCACTGAAAGTGTTTCTGTCGGTTCTTTCCGAGGTTGTTAAACAAATTAAAGGCCATTAAAAAAAATCGGTAAATGTGAAACTAAAAGCTGAAGTGCCAATTTATCAGAGCACTTGCGCCAGTTCGAAGAAAATCGTAAAGTTATCTTAATTCAAGGTGCACGTTACCAGCAGCTTTTCTTTCCTATGTTTTCAAAAAGAAATAAATTTTTTCAAAATACAATTTTATATTGGAAAAAAAATTTAGTATTTTTTAATAAAATTTTATTTGTCCCGCGTGTAAAGATAAATTTTTTTTTCATAATTTGTAGGTATTTTTTTCAAAAAAAAAAAGTGTGCTCTTATAAGGGGACTTTTCAGAATTAGCGGTTCGAGTAGCCTTTGGGCTTGAGCGTAAAATCGTTATGCGATCTGGTCCGGCAGATGATTATCAAAGATTATATATATATATATACTATACAGTCGGCTTCATAAGGCTTTTGTTGCTTATCAACTTTCCATTATTATTTTCTTTTTAGTCAAGGAGACAGAGAGAAAGTGAAACACACATATATATACAACATTTGAGACAATAATTACTCGCGCGCAAGCACAATTAACTACAGCCAACGGTTTCCAATCGCACCAAAACCGATCTCCGTATTTGACTGTCAATTGCACTAATTATTACAGACACCTGCTATGAAAATACGATTTTTATCAGGGCAGAAAAACAATGATAAAATATTATATTAATGATACTAATGATAAAATATTAATAAAGGCCTTGTCAATTTTTCAAGGCTGTTACTCTTTTCCCAATCAATAGGCTTCTTGGGGAAAAACTTATTAGGGCTTTGTTAAGTTTTCCTAAATTGTTCCTGACTAAACTGAGAAAAACTTGACAAGTCCCTCTGATATGTTTTTTTATAAGTAAAACAAAAGTAAAAAGGTCGGGAATAACTTAGGAAAACTTGACAAGGCCCTGTTAAGTTTTTTCCTAAGTTGTTACCGACCAATCAGGGCCTTGTCAGTTTTCCTAAGTGGCTCCCGATCCTTACCCTACTTACAGAAAAACTAATAAGGGTCTTGTCAAGTTTTCCTTAGTTATTTCCGACGAATATTATACTTAGGGAAAAACTTATCAGCGCCTTGTCAGTTTTCCTGTAAATTACCCTCTATTCCGCGATATTATTTTTATTTTAAATGAAAAAATGTTTTCATTCTTTTATTGTGGTTATGATTTTTCAAAGAATCGAATGTTCACATTTTTGCTATTATAACACTTTAGAAATTTTGCCCCATAGGTATATATATAAATTTTTATTTCTAAGAATATTTAAAAATTTAATTGATTGGGAACTACGACAGGTCAAATTTTTGTTGACAAAAGATTTATACCTGCATTCTGACCTGTATATTATGTTTACATTGAAATAACCTTATAAAGGTAATAACAATGGCGGACTCGGAGAATAATTCAAATCAGTTGTAATTCGTGTTTCGACATGTTTAGAAATAATTAAGTGTAATTTTTTATTAATTTTTCTTTGTTAATTTCTATATTTTCTGTAATCGTTTTTTTTTTTTTTTTGTTTTCAGTGAATATCTTCAGGAGTGCTACTCGAACGTGTGTTAAATTTTTAGAAGTTTAGTACATTTTTTCTTGTTCTTTCGGGAGTGTTCGAAAATTTTTTAAATCCCGTGTGATCTTCGCAGCTGATCTTATCGTCCAAAGAATCCAACATCATCCACATCATCGGATGCAGACTAAGGTTAGAGATATATTTTTTTTTATAAATAATAATTTAGGCATGCAATTGTTATTCTATTGTAAACATTTTTAAATATTTATAACAAAAATATAACTAGTTAATTCTTTTTTTTTTTTTTTATATGTTAAATTATTTTTCAAATCCTATAAATAATATACATTGTATTTGAAAAATAATTTATATAAAAATAAAAAAAAATTAAGTTAACTAGTTTATATATTCGAATTGATATGATTGTTTTTATTTGCAATAATAAAAGATTGATATTTGATTTGGTTAATTGGAAGGTCTGGATTTCGCGATAATCTCTTCAATAACATCCATATTTGCTGGATGCGATACACTCAAATAACCGTTACACGAAGTATATGAGCAAAGCTGTGGCTCTCGATAATAATCCAGTTCCTCTTAAACCAGACTCAATATCGTGCGCGAAATGTGATTGAGATTACTCTTATTGCCTAAATGGCTTTTGAGAGTTCTTTTTGAATGTCTTCACGACTGTCATCAACACTTTATTGTTATGATTTTTTAAAGCACAATTTATTTACTTTAAAAAAAAATCTATTATTTTCGAAAAAAACAAATTATTCAAAAAAAAAATTTATTATTTAAAAAGAAATGTAAAAAATTATTTCAAATTTATTACTTTAAACATAAAAGTAAATTCAATAAAGGTTCGAATTTGGTTCAATGTGGGTCCAATCTAGGTTTATTGTAGGTTCAACGTAGGCTCAAAGTAGATCCAACACTGGTTCAAAATAGGTTCAACGTAGGCTCAATGTAGGTTCAAAGTAGATTCAACGTAGTCTCAAAGTAGATGCAAAGGTGGTTCATAGTAGGTTCAAAGTAGATCTAATGCAGGTTCAACGTAGGCTCAACGTAGTCTCAAAGTAGATGCAAAGATGGTTCAAAGTAGATCTAACGCAGGTTCAAAGTAGGTTTAACGTAGTCTCAAAGTAGATGCAAAGGTGGTTCAAAGTAGGTTCAATGTAGGTCCAATCTAGGTTTATTGTAGGTTCAACGTAGGCTCAAAGTAGATTCAAAGGTGGTTCAAAGTAGGTTCAAAGTAGATCTAAAACAGGTTCAACGTAGGCTCAAAGTAGATCCAAAGCTAGTTCAAAGTAGGCTTAAAGTAGATTCAACGCTGGATCAAAAATAGGTTCAATGTAGGCCCAGTATTCTATAAAGTTCATTTCAAATATTCCCAACAATTGATTAATTACACGTTTTATATTAATTATTCTTCTTCTCTAATTAATAGTTCCGTCGTTAAATGCAAAAAAAAAATTCATTACAAATATACTCCTTTAAAAAAAAGAAAAAAAACCATCTCAATGATACTATCATCATATGATAATTCTCATAATTTTCTTATTATAATTTACATGCGTTGAAAATTAATATAGATAATAACAGTTCTTCAAAACAATTACACACACACACATATGTATGTATTGTTGCACGAAGAATGCAATCATGCGATCGACATTTTTCGACATTGTTTCCTGTTGATACGGAAATGAGCGAAAAAAACTGTTTTACAGTATTGTTTTCTTCTCATTTTTTTTTTTTTTTTTTTTTGTTATACGGTATTCAATTTGCGTTAATTATCGCGCATGAAATTTTTTCTTTTTATTTATCTGTTAACAATGTATGAAAAAAAAACGGAAGGAAGCGCAATGAGAGAAAGAGAAATGAAAAATAAAAATGTATATACGAAATTAAAAGGACACAAGAGAGCGTAAGAAAGGAAGCGTAATGCATGAAAGCGTAATTTGTACAAAGATGAATGAGACAAAGTGAGCCTTAGGGCATGGGCCCATAAGTTTCTCGCCGACTGTTTTAACCGTGTATTTCTGCACCCGGTTGTTATAAAGAATGAGATCCAATGGGAAGAAGTAACATTATTAACGCGACAGGTATAATTAATTCTCATTGTATATATAAATTTTTGTAATATTACAAATTTATGTATATTTATAAAGTTCAGGTGTCTTGGACAAAACTATATATAACGTTTCGTTAATTGTCCCCCTTTTTTTCGTTACGAAACCAATTGAGCATAAATATAAAAATTCAATGTTTCAATCGTATATGTAACTCGCAGTTATGAGATTTAATAAAAAAAATACTAAAAATGAGAAATATAATTGATAAGCTTGAAGTGAATTGGACCAATGCATTTCTATTTTAAGAAATGCACTTTATGCGATATGATACACGTTATTGCATCGAGCAAATCATTCCTTTTTATTTTATTGTCAAGGTATTCAATATATAGTTTTGATAAATTCATGATGGTAGTATTGACAATTTACGTCTGTTCAACATCGGTTCGATTTAAGATTAATGAATCTTTAATTGAAACGATGAGGTTCTCTTTGATCCCTTGGAAAAGCACTTTAGAGCAAAATTTTATGAAAATTTCATTTCTTTTTGTCTTCGATTAAAAGAGAAGACTATCGATGTACCAGGTGCTTCTTCGATCAAGTCTCCAAGGATCCTTCAGACCGGATCTCTACTTTGATATTCCACGTTCTCCACATGCGCGCTATCTTACCACGTTCCTCAGCTGTTTTACAATCTGACATTGTTTTATATATCGATAACATAGAGAAAAAAAAATTCCTACCCGACTTGATTAGCTTTCATTTTTTTTTTCAAAAGAAATCTCAATCTTCTAATGAAGTGATTATAAAAAGAAAAATGTTTCACTGATTACTCTGGAAAATTTATTTGTTATTTCTTTTCTATAATTTTAATTTAGAAATAATTGAATTTTAATTAGGATGTATCAATTATTTTTTGTGATGATTTTGTTAAATTTTTTAGATGTTGGTCGAAATCGTTAAGGCGCTTGGTATTGCGAGTTAGGTTGTGCGTTCGAATCCTTCCGGAGTAGGAAAATTTTTATTTAATTATTGAATTTTGTATAATATAAATAATTATACATTTATTCGATTTTTATATAGTAATCGAAAATAATTAACAAAATTAAAAATAGAAAATGAAATGGCTTTCGAAAGAAAAAAATTTCTGACTTATGAGTAAAAAATCAACGATTGATGTTCCGAAGCTGACGTCAAGAAGTTATAAAGTGTTTGTATTCATATAATATAATTATAATTGTGTGAGTACATTGCATTGTGAGAATGTATCAAATTGCAGCTGCTGTCAGTAGCGATTTCTACAATGCCACAAGAGAATCAACCGCCCAATAATTATCTCTCTCTCTCTCTTCAACATCTTGATAATCTACTCCTTTTCTTATTCTTTTTGAAAAATACCGTTTTTTTTCACCAACCCTTGTCGTTTATTACTCCCGACATATTTTTTCGCACATTTCACCAACTTTTTTTTTGTTTTGAATAAAACTTCTTCAAATATATCAGACAATGATTAATTAAAAAAAAAATAGGTCGCAATTTCGGAAGAATATTTCATTTCGAAAAGATGCGCTTCTCTTTATATTGGTGAAGAAATGCAAAATTATCAGTGAGTTTTTTTTCTCTTCCATTTATTTGCCAATTATTTTAGTAGAGTTCGACATTTTCATTTGGTTAATGATCATTTTTTGGGAGGGGGGGAACACACGCATAAATTACTTTTACTGGCAATATATGAAACATAATCTTGCGTGTGCGCTGAAGAAGCGGATGCAAATCAAAGAAGATAATTGAGATGCATCTGTTATAGAGGAAACACGTTGCGCGTTATTATTTTTTAATGAATCTTCACTCTTGTAACATTTTGTCTGTAATGTGGAGATCGATTTTTCTTCAATATTATACATACAGTTTTTATTATATTTAAATAGAATTTAAAAAAAAATGTATATAATTAATGATTTAATTGACGTTTCATTATATATTGAATTTTCAGGCGTTTAAATTAATTAATGTGTTAATTTTTTTTAAACGATCGAAGTGTTACTTTTATAATTGATGGTTTAAATTAATTTATCACAAAAGTAAAATTTTATTTTTTAATAAATATTTATTTATTATCATTTTTACTATTTTTATTATAATCAATAATATATCAATTTAGTTAAAAATACAAATATCAATATAGAATTAAATTTTGACGATTACAAGATTAGTGATATTTTAAATTACATGGATTATTATATGTAAAGTCGATTTTAAAACGAAAAACCATCAAATTGGCTTATTTTACTAATCTAAATAGACTAGTCACGAGTATTCTCATCTTATAGGATTCGTAATATTTGTTTATAGCATTTAAACATCATATAGGAATATTCTGCTTAATTATAATTATAAGGTATATATATAAATTATATCGAAGCAAGAAGTTATTCATGCTAATGACTTAATAAACGTCAATCTCTTTATGCCGGATTTGAATTTGTGAATAGCACACATGGCATCTCCTTCAGTCAGGAAATGATCGGGAGATTAGAACCCCGCTATTTAATTGAAACGGGCGCATTTTATTTGCATTTTATTACACGAGCGTCAATCTTTTTTAAATGCGATGAGAACACTTGGGAAATACATCCTGTCAAGCTACTTCTCTTCATTTTTCAAATATTGATAGACCAATAAAAAAAACTTATATATCTCTTAATTATTTATATACTAACACACGCGCACTACCAACATCCCATTGGTCAACTTTCTTATATAAAAATTTTTAAATCATTATGATAATGTAAATTTATAATACAAAATAATAATAAAATTTCACAAAAAAATTCAATTTTTCTTAGGCAGACGATTTCATTGCACATATTTGCACAAAATACACCTAAAAGTGTAGAAAAAAATTGACATCCCAATCCGAGTAGAGGAAGACCCCTATTATGACCTTTTAAGCGATTTTCGTCAAAAAAAAATTTTCAAAAAAATTCAATTTTTCTTAGGCAGACTATTTTATTGCAATTTCTTGCACAAAATACACCTAAAAGTGTAGAAAAAAATTGACAGCCCGATCCGAGTAGAGGAACACCATTTTTATGACCATTAAAGCGA